TGTGCGAGCTGATGACACTATGATCTGAGCCACGAGCAACCTGTCATAGGTTCGAGTCCGACTCGTTTTGTGATTTGATTAAATCTTGCTCTGGTTAACAGAAATTTGAAGCCAAAACAACAGTACGTAAGTGTTCGCAATAAAGCTAATATAATTCATAGCTTCATATCAAGATGTCACAGGTTATACTTCGACATTATATATATCCCTGGTTAGACTTCATTTAGATTATGCTTCTAAGTTTTGATCTAAATTGTCATAGAATAGACATAAATACTCTCGAAATTGCACAGAGAGGAAAGGATGAAGCCGATTCCTCATATTAGTAACTTTCCCTATGAAAATAGGCTGAAGGCACTGAACTTGCACTCTCTTATTATTATTATTAAAGATTAGCCGGTATTTTCCCGGCCCGGGCCTTTTCCAAGTGGTGGCCCGGCCTTGGCTCCCTCTTTAGGGAGTGTCTGAGACCTAAGTCTCCCATGGGAGGAGGCACAAGTACCTCCTCATCTTTGGGACCAACTGTCCCCAGGCCTAGCCACAAGCTAGGCCTCTCTGGTCTGCCATCCCCGCCCCAAGGGGGCAAATGGGAATGACAGTCTTATGAGCTAAAGGCTCGGGCTCAGGCACCTACCCTACCCTAGAAGGGTTAGGCATGGTGTCGATCTTGCACCCATAGATAAATGGAACAAACTGATATTATTATTAATGAAGTTTTATATTCCTTTTACTTAAGTTACTCTTAAATGTATTGGTTTTCTTTCACTTATGTTTTCAATACAAAGAAAACAAAATTTAATTGTTTCTGGGTAACTAAAATAAAATTTAAAAAATCTACAAATATTTAATTACATTTGTTTAATTTACAAATGATTTTACAAATAGGTACTTTTTAGACTGGACGCATTTGAGATACTTTATACATAATAATGATTGCAGTAATCCCAATGTTTTTATAGCCACACAATGGTAAATGATAATTTAACGAAGGGTTAATTTAACAAGGTCAAATAGATGTACGTAACTGGTTTATGTATTTACTATACTGTACTTTTTATCATTATTGTAGAGTGTACTCTTTCTACTTATAAAAAATAAGTTTACTTTAAAACAGTATGCCGTGTAAAGCCGGCAGCAGCCTCATACATCCCGCGTTCACCGCGTCTCTTGACGGCATCATTCTGTGTTTAGATACACAAATACTTCCCATTGTGTAACAGCTGTTTACAGTAGCAGCAATAGGTTATTATACCATATAACCTAGGTGTGTAATAGGCTATGCCATCTAGGTTTGTGTAAGTTCATTCTATGATGTTCGCACAACGACGAAATCGCGTTACGACGCATTTCTCAGAACGTAAGTAAGTAAGTAAGTAAGTAAGTAAGTAAGTAAGTAAGTAAGTAAGCAAGTTTATTCAGGTATACACAAATACAGTTACATAGAATTATCATACATAGCAGCATATGTGTAGAGAACCTGGGATAACCCAAAAAAGTCAGACAGAGTGACTTATTTCCCATTCGTATCCCCATTCGTTAAGCAACGCTTGACTGTGTGTGTATGTCGTGCCAAATAGGTAAAACTGGTCAGTTAGCAAGAACTCATTTAAAATTAAGTCCTTTCTAAAATTTTCTCTTAAACGTTTAAAGATATATATTTTTTCTTTTTTGTTAATGTAAGAATTAATAATTTTGTACCAAAAGAACCTTAGAAAACTTACCTAACCTTATTATAACAAGCAAAATTAAATTTAGCCAAATCCAGCTAACTATATTTTATGAAAGCAAAAGACTAGGCAGGAGATGCAATATTCCTTCAATAAAAAGCAGGGGCGCCACAAGTACACTGAGAGATAACACAGTAACTGTCCGGGGCCCAAGACTGTTCAACTGCCTCCCAGCATACATAAGGGGGATTACCAATAGACACCTGGCTGTCTTCAAGAAGGCACTGGACAGGCACCTAAAGTCAGTACCTGACCAACCGGGCTGTGGTTCGTACGTCAGTTTGCGTGCGGCCAGCAGTAACAGCCTGGTTGATCAGACCCTGATCCACCACGAGGCCCGATCTCAGACCGGGCCGCGGGGGCGTTGACTCCCGAAACCCTCTCTACCTGGAGTTTACCTGGAGAGTGTTTCGGGGGTCAACGCCCCCGCGGCCCGGTCTGAGACCAGGCTTCATGGTGGATCAGGGTGTGGTCAACCAGGCTGTTACTGCTGGCCGCACGCAAACTGACGTACGAACCACTCCGGTTGGTCAGGTACTCACTTTAGGTGCCTAGGTATACTCCAGGTAATAATAATAAACAAACACAATGAAATATATATATATATATATATATATATATATATATATATATATATATATATATATATATATATATATATATATATATATATATATAATATATATATATATATATATATATATATTCAACAAGTCGGCCGTCTCCCACCGAGGCAGGGTGACCCAGAAAAGAAAGAAAATCCCCAAAAAGAAAATGCTTTCATCATCATTCAACACTTTCCCCTCACTCACACATAATCACTGTTTTTGCAGAGGTGCTCAGAATACAACAGTTTAGAAGCATATACGTATAAAGATACACAACATATCCCTCCAAACTGCCAATATCCCAAACTCCTCCTTTAAAGTGCAGACATTGTACTTCCCATTTCCAGGACTCAAGTCCGACTATATGAAAATAGCCGGTTTCCCTGAATCCCTTCACTAAATATTACCCTGCTCACACTCCAACAGATCGTCAGGTCCCAAGTACCATTCGTCTCCATTCACTCCTATCTAACACGCTCACGCACGCTTGCTGGAAGTCCAAGCCCCTTGCCCACAAAACCTCCTTTACCCCCTCTCTCCAACCCTTTCGAGGACGACCCCTACCTCGCCTTCCTTCCCCTGTAGATTTATATGCTTTCCATGTCATTCTACTTTGATCCATTCTCTCTAAATGACCTAACCACCTCAACAACCCCTCTTCTGCCCTCTGACTAATACTTTTATTAACTCCACACCTTTTCCTAATTTCCACACTCCGAATTTTCTGTATAATATTTACACCAAACATTGCCCTTAGACAGGACATCTCCACTGCCTCCAACCGTCTCCTCGCTGCTGCATTTACCACCCAAGCTTCACACCCATATAAGAGTGTTGGTACTACTATACTTTCATACATTCCCTTCTTTGCCTCCATAGATAACGTTTTTTGACTCCACATATACCTCAATGCACCACTCACCTTTTTTCCTTCATCAGTTCTACGATTAACCTCATCCTTCATAAATCCATCCGCCGACACGCCAACTCCCAAGTATCTGAAAACATTCACTTCTTCCATACTCCTCCTCCCCAATTTGATATCCAATTTTTCTTTATCTAAATCATTTGATACCCTCATCACCTTACTCTTTTCTATGTTCACTTTCAACTTTCTACCTTTACACACATTCCCAAACTCATCCACTAACCTTAGCATTTTTTCTTTAGAATCTCCCATAAGCACAGTATCATCAGCAAAAAGTAACTGTGTTAATTCCCATTTTGAATTTGATTCCCCATAATTTAATCCCACCCCTCTCCCGAACACCCTAGCATTTACTTCTTTTACAATCCCATCTATAAATATGTTAAACAACCATGGTGACATTACACATCCCTGTCTAAGACCTACTTTTACCGGGAAGTATTCTCCCCCTCTTCTACCCACCCTAACATGAGCCTCACTATCCTCATTAAAAACCTTTTAAAGCTTTATAACCTTACCTCCTTGCATCATCTGCAAATTCCCATTCTTCCTTCCCTAATTTCTATGCTATTATAACCATAAATGCATAAAATTTCCCTACTTTACTCTAAAACTTTCACTATATTTTCAATTTTACCTTTCCCTTTACAAATGCCTTACACTCTCCGAACCTCTTGGGCTCATCCCATCCTACATTCTGTTTACCTAAATACCATCCACTAAACCCTACTGTACCCTTTTGTAATTCTGTCAATGATTCCTCATTTTCCCAATCTCTTTTGTCCCCTTTCATTTATTAATGATTTACACTCCCCAATTACCTTAGCTCCCTTTCCCACTCTTAATATACTCCTGACCAGCAGAAATACCGCTCCCTTTCCCCCTGCTTTTAACTTTCTAAATACTCCCTCTTCCCAAAACCCTCTTTACCCCTTATTCTACTAACGCCTCACGTATCCACTGACAATCCATTCTTCTCTTTCCTCTAAAGATGTTATATCCCCCAAACCAGTTTTTCATTTTATTAACCTTCTTTCTTCCTTACTCAAATTCCTAAATATTCCCCTCTCTTTTCCTCTCTCACCATCTACTAACTTCTTACTCTCCTTAAATGATAAATCCATAATTTTCAAAGGGTTTAACTTGTTAAGCCGGGAATCGTTTCATTTTCAAAAGTTCTTGACAGGGCCATCTCCAACTCTATCATCTGCTTTCCTGTTTCCTCACCACTTTACCTACCTTTTCTTACTACTCTCATATACTCTGCTTCTTCTTATAACACTTCTGCTTTGTAAAAAACCTCTCATAAGCTACCTTTTTCTTTTATCACACCCTTTACTTCATATTCCACCAATCACTCCTCTTTCCACCTGCCCCCACCCTCCTATAACCACAAATTTTCTGCCCCACATTCTAAACTGCATTTTTAAAACTATTCCAACCCTCTTCAACCCCCCCACTACTAATCTTTGCACTAGCCCACCTTTCTGCCAACAGTCGCTTATATCTCCGCCCGAACTCCTCCTCCCTCAGTTTATACACTTCGTCAACTCCCAAGCACTTCCCTTTTACTTGTTGTTGCCACCTTCCTCTTTTCCCATCTACCTCTTACTCTAACTGTAGCTACAACTAAATAACGAAAATGTTTTCTCAAAGAGTCTAATATGTAAGTCGTGAAAGTTCTCGGAGGTCTCGTAGAAAACAGCAATACAACCTACAAGCGCTGAAGGTTCTCACCTCAAATTCTCCCTTGAAGATGCCTCCTGCCTGGCCGATGTAGAGTGTGGAGGCTGAGTCAAACACCAGCTGTAAGGGGACCCGTCTGACTAACACACTGTTGTACACCTGACAGTTGAACCACAGCTGCACCTCCTCTTCCGTCACTTTCAACGACAACCTGAGATAAGAACACTTGTTATATGTAGGGAAAATTTCTTTTATTTATTGGACGAGGGAGGCATCTGCTGGTTAGTGTATTAGATTTAAAACTTGTCGATTTTGTGAGAGTCATTATGATTGCGATTTACCGTATTTTCGGGCATATAAGACGCACGAGTATATAAAACATATAGGACGATGTTTCCAAGTACTTGTAACGCAACGTTAAGAAACAATTGTTACAGCGTAACCCAAAGTTTATCCTTGACGCTGACCTTGAGCATATAAGGCGCAGGCTGATTTTCCAAGATATATTCTGAGAAAAAGAGCGTCTTATATGCCGTAAAATACAGTACTTGTAAACTAATATCAAGAGCATCCGAATCCCTCATGAAGCATGTCTCACAACTTTCCTTCCATGAAATAATACTTGTACATAGGCTCTAGCTAAGTAGGTGGATATACGTAAGAACAGGAACTGCTTGTGTATCTTACAAGCAGTTCCTCTGTAACTTGTGTGACACATACATCGATTAGCTAATTGGGTTACACGGATTTTATACTTCATATAACTGCAGTAATAAACCGATGGACAACCTATTCATAATTTTATACACTTGCTGGGATCTGGAAATAGCTTCATATATCAGTTTAAACACCAGTGGAGGATCTAAACTCAAGAGTATACTCACTAATAGTGAATTAACCGAATCTTTTTCACTCCGTAGAAAGCTTAAAAGTCCTAAACCCTACCATAGATGATCGACTCTGGCACCTCTCTCTCACTCATCTGTCACCACATCGTCCCTCATCCACTCTCACATCCACGCTTATCTATCATCACATGATGTTCATATAACCACCCATACTACTGACCATCACTATACCACTCACCTGGTCCAGGATCCGGTGAACTGGGGCACGAGGAAGGAAGCTATGGCTTGTGAGGTCATGTGTCTGTCTCCGTCAGTGTAGTAGAGAGAAAGATTAGTGGCTCCTGGCCCACCGGGAGTGAGGGAAACCCCCAGCTGGATGAGGTTCTCCAGCGGGTTGGTCACTGCGAAGAGGAACATGGACTCTGTCGTGTCCGGCTTCACCGCAATCAGGATCTGCCGGCCGAGGAAGAGACGGGAATTTTATGAAATATAAAAGATAAACCCCATTATAGTTAGATCAGCAAAAGAAGAGAATAAGCACCAGGGTGTAAAACCAAAAGGCATAGTTAGCACAGAATGGGGAATGGGAGAGATCACCGAGTTTGTGATATTATTTTTTAATGTGACACGACTACATCAGAATGGTTATGGCGAATGGCAGTCCATCTCACTGTTCTTAAACTATTAAAGACAGACAATTTTTTTTGTATTGCAAATTGTTTTTGGGTTTGTTTTTGTGAAAACAAGGAGGTTTCGATCTTGACCGATCTAAACCCAAACTTACTCCGACAAGAACTACGAGTGTGGCTTCAGACCTATGATTGGTTCATTTGTAAGAGGCTCTGCTAAGGTGAGTGGATCTGAGAGTGATCAAAAACACAATGGATTCCTCCTGTTGCCACGGTGACGATATAAACTACACCATACTTTGCTCTTTCCAAACAAAATCATGAACGCCAGTTCTTCAGGACCATCCATAAAATTACCAGGGCCAGTGGACCATTCTCGTCAGGATGATCCATAAAACTACCAGGGCCAGTGAGCCATCCTCGTCAGGATGATCCATAAAACTACCAGGGCCAGTGGATCCTCCTCGTCAGGATGATCCATAAAACTACCAGGGCCAGTGGGCCATCCTCGTCAGGACCATCCATAAAACTACCAGGGCCAGTGGGCCATCCTCGTCAGGACCATCCATAAAACTACCAGGGCCAGTGGATCCTTCTCGTCAGGATGATCCATAAAACTACCAGGGCCAGTGGGCCATCCTCGTCAGGACCATCCATAAAACTACCAGGGCCAGTGGGCCATCCTCGTCAGGACCATCCATAAAACTACCAGGGCCAGTGGACCATCCTCGTCAGAACGACCCATATGAACAGTTCCAATGGAACATCCTCGTCAGGACGACCCATAACAGCGACAATGGAGCATCCTCGTCAGGATGGCCTATAAGAACACCAGCGACAGTGATAGAATCCTACCGACAATGGAGCATCCTCGTCAGGATGGCCTATAAGAACACCAGCGACAGTGATATATCCTCGTCATTAGCACGACACACACGAACACCACTTTTAACACCCCTGAAGGGAGGTTCCTTGACGCTGGTGAGGGGCTCTTGATCTAGGGAATTGGATCTGTGCTCCAGTTCCCTGAATTGAGCCTGAATACCTTCTATCCATCCCCCCTTCAGGCGCTGTATAATCCCTACCGGTTTAGCGCTCCCCATGATTATACAATAACTACTCTTAATAACAGTCAATATCTCACTGTTGTGATGCTGGGGAAAGACTCGTGAGTCAAGGAACTGACGCTTCCAGACCATGAAGCTGAATTCTTTTCCAGGCTGAGGGACTGACCGCTTCAAATACTTTTTTCTCCAAGGTTAATGGATGTTGCAACCCCTGAATGGGTTGCAATGATTATTATGTATATATATAATTATTATCTTTTCATATAATTTTATATTGCTTATATTTGCGATAATAGCTAAATCGTAAATGTATTGCTTTATATTATTATTTGACTTAGTTATGTTGTTAGGTAGGATGTAACATATTATGTGCTCAGTTCAAGTCTTGATTGTCTAACTACTGTAATTATCGCTTGTGGCTCGTTAGACTGCCGGCTTCTGTTGCTGAGCTGCAGCTGTCCACGGAGCTATCACGTGATCGAGGGGGAAGGGGTTGTCCTCACCTCGCCTGAAGTATTCAGTCTGATCTAGACTCTCTTGGTGGTTGGACAGATCGTCTGTCTCATTATTCTTGTTAGTTCTGGAGACTCTGTTCACAGAACATTGTATAGACTTAGTGATTTTCGACGTTGTACTGAGGTTGTGTGTCGCTAAAACACTCTGAGCAACTCAGGTCCAGAGGTGTAGCTTCTGACCTAATTTGTACTGGTATCTGTGTATTATCACAGTCGGGGATTTTCTTATGCTGAACTTAGATTCAGTATTATGGGAGTTTTATGACTTTTGTGGAGGATCTGCAGATGGTCCCTACTTAGTGTCGTTATATTATCTCCTTGATCCTGATTGTGTTGCAGTTGCTTGTTATATTACTATTGGGCTTAGCATTCTTTTTATTGTTCAAGCAGGCTGTTCTGATTGCCAGTTGGTCAAGAAGTTAATTAATGTGAGGACTGTCAGTCACTTGTTTAAGTCTAGTCGAGTCGTGAGACATAGCGAACTACTTAGAGCACTTACACACATACACACAAACTTATTTGTACATATTTGTAATATTTCATTAAATGTTAATGAACCAGACGGTACTTAAGACTTATAAATGCGATATGTGCCTACAGCACAATACTATTGCACACGAGAGAAGTGATTATTATTAATTTGTTTGAATTGATTAATTTAATTTACTTTGATAATATACCTCTTGACGATACTCAATAAATTTATTAAATTTTATTTTCTCTAGTTAGTAACCTACCTGTTGTAATCCTAAAGCACTAATAATTCATACTGAATTCTAATGGATAATTGGACAAGGATACTGACTACTTGTTACAGAAACCAGTAACAGGCTGGATGCTAGAAGGGCAGTCCTTTCTAGTATTCACTGGAGATCTCTAAGCTTTTAGAATCGCGTTTTTTGTAACAATGGACTGATTAACATCATCTCTATTTCACTACTAAACTTGCTGCCTCTATTTGACTGAAGACGCCTACTGTGTAGGCGAAACGTTTCAACAATATAAACTGCTGCACATGTGTCGGTATTTTATACTATATTCAACGTAAGGAAGATTTCATACACCTGTTGCCACAGGCAATACAAACCCTGTTTTATTTTAACTGTCTTAAGTTAAAAATTATTCATAGTGAAAGTTGAGTTCACTTGGCGAGTGGTCATGCATCGTAGAATCTTGTAAACTTGAGTTTGTGTTCAGAACCTTAGGCAGACTTAATTCAATCAGAACCAAGTTAGTACGAGTTGTTACCTAACAAGATTTCCAGCACTTGTACATCTCAGCCTAACACGATCACCGGCTGCTGCTGGTGCATGTTGTCTCCCTCCTGTGATCTCTTCACCCCTGTGGGAGGCTGAGCCAAGCCCACGCTGCTCAGACACTTAGCTGCAGTTAGTGAACGGAGGCTCGAGCTTTAATTACTTCTGCCGTTAAATAATTATATATAACTGTTACATGAAATCACACACAATCTGTGATACTGGCGAGTAATGGTAAAGAAGTACCCACATGCTCAGAACCTGTATGTGTGGGAGGGTTGAGTCTTAGCTCCTGGCCCCACGTCTTAAGTGGCAGGGACAAGGTTAGCTCACGCCCAGCCTTGTGTTGCCCCGTTATGTATATTCCTACACTTGTTTATGGATTCTACCACCACCACCATAACCACCACCACCACCATCACCACCACCACCACCAACAATATCACCACACACCACCATAACCACCACCACCCATCACCCACCAACACAACAATATCACCACACTTACCATCACAACACCACACCACCACACCACCAACACCCCACCACCACCACCACACAACAAAACAACAACAACAACAACAACATACACCACCACCATCAACCACCCACCTCTACCACACACATCACAACCACCGCCGCCACACACCACCACCACCAACATAACATCACCACCATCTACCACCACCACTACCACACCATCACCACCACTACCACCACCATCACCACCATCACCACCATCACCACCACTACCACCACCCAACATACAAACATCACCCACCCCACCACTACCACCATCACCATCACCACCACTATCATCCCACCAACACAACACCATCATCACCACCATCACCACACCACCACCACCCCACCATCACCACCACTACCACCCAACAACAACAACATCACCACCACCATCACCACCATCACCACCATACCACCACCAAAACAACATCGCCACCACCACACTACCACCATCACCATCACCACCACTATCACCACCAAACAACAACATCATCACCACCATCACCACCACCACCACCACCACCATCACCACCACTACCACCAACAACAACAACATCACCACCACCATCACCACCATCACCACCACTACCACCACCAACAACAACATCGCCACCACCACCACTACCACCATCACCATCACCACCACTATCACCACCAACAACAACATCATCACCACCATCACCACCACCACCACCACCATCACCACCACCACCACCACCACCACCACCACCACCACCACCACCACCATCACCACCACTACCACCACCACCAACAACATCACCACCACCTCCATCACCATCATCATCATCACCACTACCACCACTACCACCACCACCAACATCACCACCACAACCACCACCACCACCACCACCATCACCACCACCACCACCACCATCACCACCACCAACAACATTACCACCACCATCACCATCACCACCACCATCACCACCACCACTACCACCACTACCACCAACAACATCACCACCACCATCACCACCACCAACCATCACCACCACCACTACCACCACTACCACCAACAACATCACCACCACCACCACCACCACCAACAACAACATCACCACCACCATCACCACCACTACCACCACCACCAACAACATCACCACCACCATCACCACCACCACTACCACCGCTACCAACAACATCACCACCACCATCACCACCACCACTACCACCGCTACCAACAACATCACCACCACCATCACCACCACCACCACCACTACCACCACCACCAACAACATCACCACCACCTTCACCACCACCACTACCACCACCACCAACAACATCACCACCACCACCATCGCCACCACCGCCACCATCACCACCACCACCACCACCACTACCACCACCACCAACAGCATCACCACCACCATCACCACCATCACCACCACCACAAACAACATCACCACCACCATCACCACCACCATCACCACCACCACCACGTCTTCACCCAGATCTTCCACTCTGACTTTCTGTCAGCATAGTTGCTGAATCCCCTTACATGTGTTGTATAGATTAGCTGAGCATTATAATATCATCCATGTGTTTATATAGAAGACATCTTAGGCCGAGTGACTGTGTGACGTCACGGGATGCGCATGTTTACGTTCGTACCTCTGCCTCCTTCTCAGTCGGCGCATAGACATCCAGGCCAGGACACGGCAAGGCTGGGCTCCATCTCCCATTACCACAGTCTGACAATATAGCGTTACCATCCAACAAGTGTGTCTATCTTCAACCCTCGATATCTCCTTTTAAGAACCCCTACGACAAGTTGGTGGCAACGGAGGGCCTGTAATTCTGACGATTACAGTGATTTCTGGAGATAAATTTCTACTGGGCCGGCCGACATCTTGTGACTAGGCCTGCCGAGCAGGGTACGCTCGACCTACCCCAGCCAGCTACCTCTAGCCAGCTACTCTCTCAAGCTTCTACCAGCCACTACATTATTCAATGGTCAGTCTCTTTGTATTAGTGTTTATCTGCTTATTTTCATCACTCCCGAGGGGTTG